TGGCACTGCCTACTGAGGAATGGTGTCCCCGAGAAGTTCGTCTCCATACTGCGTTCTCTCTATAGTCTGACCTCGGGCAGCGTTAGGGCTTATGGCAAGCTTTCGCCTACCTTTGTGGTCTCCAGTGGAGTTCGACGAAGATGCCCTATGTCTCTCGTTCCTATTCAACTCTGCCATTGAGGATGACCTAAAGAACGCTCCGGGAGATTCGTTAAACACTGGCGTTGAGCTCCTCCCAGGTAGTTGAGTTGCTGATTTGGATAATGCTGATGATATCTTCTTGTCGGGTGACAATCCACACGTCATCCTACTTGCACTAAACCGCTTGGCGATTGAAGCATCAAAGTATGGTATGTACTTTTCGCCATCCAAATGCAAGGCTCTCTTTCAAGACTGGCAGGTGCCCGCGCCTGCACTCACTCTTGGTGGTGAGACACTAGAGGTTGTGGAGAGCTTCGTCTACTTGGGAAGTTGCATCACTACTGGCGGGGCTGTTGGAGACGAGATTTCGATGCGCATCTCGAGATCAGGCCTCGCTTTTTCTAGGCTGAGGCATTTGTGGCGTCGCCACGACATTCGTCTCTCCATCAAAGGACGGGTCTATTGTGCAACTGTTCGTGCTGTACTGTTGTACGGATGCGAGACCTGGCCCATTCGTAAAGGTGACTTGCGCTGACTATCCGTTCTCAAGCAACGCTGTCTGTGGTTCATTGCCTGTGTGTGTGTGTGTGTGTGTGTGTGTGTGTGTGTGTGTGTGTGGAGGTTAGACAGCGTGTCTTGGGACGAGAAAGCCACTCACTCGAAGAGCTCATCTCACTGCATCAACTGAGGTGGCTGGAACACGTAGTGCACATGCCTGATCAGTGTTACACGCATCATAGTTGTTTGCGGTTGCTGGACGGGGTTGGAAGAGATGGTCTAGTGGACAGTCTGCAACTTGCAAAAGCCGCGTGAAAAAACCGACGAAACAGTTGGCCTCGGCCGGTTGTTGTCGACTACCTGGTTGGGGTCCGTGAGATGCCGATAAATGCAGGTTGAAGAGCTTGGAAGTCATGGCTCAAGATCGAGGTCGGTGGCGAACGCGTACATCGATGTATTGCGGTGTACCTCCTGTGGTGTACCGGAAAACACGCTCTTTCAATATTTTGTAACATTGGATTTTACGGTTGTTTTAACCTTGAAAACATCCAATTGTTTTACTGACTGCGCATCCGTTGACACAAAGCGTTTTGGTGAGTACCTTACTGCACCGTTTCTCGCTCTGGTTGATTCGCTTCCTATTTTGGTAGCCTGCACAATATACGTTGGGTTCTGTCGCCTCCAGGTTCTGTACTGTCCCGTAGTTGACACGTCTCTTACGTGTCATTAATTACCGACTAGTATCCCAGGCTCCGCCAAACTATGTGACCCCTGTCAGGAACACGCCGTTCGCCATTTCGATTTTTCATTCTGGTGAGCTCGTTCCAGTGATTTTTATGATTCATTACTTGTGAGCATGTTGCTTTCTCACCTACCACATTTTTATCTGCTTTTTGCAATGGATTATCTAGAGGATGAGCAATCTCCATACGCGGTTAACGCCGTTGAGCCTGTCCTGGTCAATTCGGTTGCGTTAGCCCCTCCACCTTTTGGCAGAATGATCCTTCGTTATGGTTTTTGCACCTAGAATCCGTCTTTTACATTCGAGGATTTCTTCTGATTTCGCCATGTATTCGTAGATAATATCTCGCCCTCCTCAGAGTATATCCTTGTCACCATATTTTGCCCCCCGCTAGTAATGAAATGCGCGACTCTTAAACGGGCTGTTATTCAGCGAACCACGCCTTCTGACAAGGTCCGTCTGCAGCAACTATTTAGTTTTCTGCAACTAGGAGATAGGATGCCCACAGGCTTGTTGCGCGAAATGCAACAGCTCATCGGCACGTCCAACATGGACGCAGGGATTCTCCGCGAGCTGTGGATGCAACGCCTTCCTGAAAGCACACAGGCTATACTTGCAGTAGCAAGTGATCTGCTACTCCCAGCAATTGCAAATCTAGCAGACCGCGTCACCGAACGGAACCAGCCAGAGACTAAAACCAAAGCACCTAAGCAGCTTTGTGCTAGCGCAACCACAACGACAAGCCCGACTAGCCAGCCGTCGGCAATAGACGCAGTATTATCGCAGATGGCATCGCTTCAGCGCCAGATCGAAGAATTCACCTTAAACCGTAAGCAACGCAGCCGGTCTGGATCATCGCCCCGTCGCACAAAACCTGATGCCACAGGTTACTGCTTTTACCACTCGCGTTTCCGTAATAAAGCCCGTAAGTGCGTACAGCCATGTAGCTACTCCGCTACAGATGGTCTGCCAGGTCGGCCCGTAATGGCGACTAACGGTGTCGGCAAAGCCCAAAGTCGTCTCATCTACATTAGGGATTATGATTCCGAGACCCAGTTCTTGGTTGATACCGGGGCGGAAGTCAGCGTCATTCCCCCTATGCCAGATGAGCCTCTCGCTTCTTTGTCGACAAGCCTCAGTGCCGCCAATGGCACGCCAATAGCCCCCTACGGTCATCGGTCGCTTATATATATATATATATATATATATATATATATATATATATATATATATATATATATATATATATATATATATATATATATATATATATATATATATTATACACAATCTGTGTTACAGATATTGTGCCATCGGAATCATGGCTGAATAGGAAAACAATATGAATAGTAAAAACAGACGGCGGGAAAGTCTATGGTGCGCTGAGGTTGGTGGTGGCTAGATCCTAACAGATGATCTACCCACTGCTGCTACTGCTGCGCCATTGGCTCATGTCCTGGACGCCTCCTCGTGGCGACCGCTGGGTGGGAGTTGGGTTTCGCCCTTCTCCCTGCTAAGATCCAGGACACCAATCCGCATGAGTCAGTGAACTGACCATGTGCTAGACCCGTTGCCTTTCGGGTGTACATTTAATCGAAGGCTTTGGCTGAGGACCCGAGTCGTTCTCCTGTCAGGTGTGGGCGTCCTGCCAGTATCCTAGTCCATCCTCTTCGGAGGTTAAGAAGTGGTCGATGGCCCACTTCCCGTAAAACCTAGCCATGGGAGACAACAAGTGTACGGGTTATAAGTTCACAGCTCGATTGGCGTAGAGCATGAGCACCATGCATTGTCTTTGACGGTGGGAGGGCACCTCCGGGTGTTCAATGGTTTGCTACTGCCCGCCTCAAGCCAGGCAGCCCCTGGTCAAATTGATGCAAACCCGCCAAAACCCACCTGCGTCTGGCTGTGGTCGCAGGTGTATCCTACTACGGTCGCAAAACATATATAAATCGTTCCAGTACCTCAAAGGCTGCGTGTGACGGCCGTCAAGCAGATCCCAAGCTGTCTTTGCAATCACATTCCCGAGCTGGATCTGCTCCCCACTGCTTTGTGGGTCAGGTTATTGAGCCAAAGGCTTCGGGCGGAGTCCCTCAAGCAAACCTCCGAAGCACAACGACCATCTCGCGTGCGATTACCCACCAATGCAATCGTACGCCTGCGCGCAAAGCACTCAGCAACGGGTGCTGTAACGTGCGCACACTACTGGACCGGAACTCCAGTGAGCGCGCCGAATGACGCACTGCACTGGTCGCGATGGAGTTGGCGCGTTACCACATCGATATTGCGGCGCTCAGAGAAACTCGGTTCGCTGTGCAAGGTAAGTTGCATGAAGCAGGTGCTGGCTACACATTCTACTGTGTGGGCAACGCCGCCTCAGCACCACGTGATCATGGAGTCGGATTTACAATATCCGATCGCCTCCATGGCCAGCTGGTGGGTGAACCAACAGGCATCAGCGCACGATTGATGACTGTTCGCCTACGACTCGGAAGAGGTAAGTTTGCCAATTTTATAAGCACGTACGGTCCGACCATGTGTTATCCTGATGACACGCGTGATCAATTCTACACTCAGCTATCCTACGTGATACGGTCTGTGTCGAGGAGCGACCGATTATTTCTGCTGGGTGATTTCAACGCGTGCGTTGGGCGTGATGCATCGGTGTGGACAGATGTCATCGATTTGCATGGCATTGGTTCAGCGAATGCGAACGGTGACAGGTTGCTCTCACTGTGTGCCACTCAGGATCTGACGATCATGAACACTCGGTTTGCACTGAGTGCGAGTGATATAGCAACTTGGACGCACCCACGGAGTGGTCACGCTCACCTGCTCGACTATGTCATTGTACGTCAGGGTGATATGCGTGAAGTGCGCATGACACGTGTACTGCGTGGAGCTGAATGTGGCACCGATCACAAATTGGTGCGGACCAAACTGTACATATGTTTTCGTAAATCTATGTATTGCACTCCCGCCGTGAATCGGCGTAAAGATAACATCTTCTCCCTCGGTACTGTGGCGAAACGTATTGAGCTGGAGAAGGCGATGGCTGCACGACTGTATGATGTCGACTGCATAGCCACAGTGGGCGACATGTGGCATCACATTCGCGACCAGGTGACAGCTGCTACCGAGGAGACCATCGGGCGCTCGAACTGTGAGCGGCCTGATTGGTTTGATGACAACAATGCGACGATTGGCGCATTGGTGTCGGGGAAGAATGCAGCATTTGCTGCACATGTCGCAGACCCCAGTGACTTGGGGAAGAAGAGTCAGTTTCGCAAACTTCGACGGTGACTGATCCAAGAGCTCCGTCGCATTAAAAATGCATGGTGGACGGAGAAGGCGAAGCAGATGGAATGCTACGCCGAACGCCGCTAACACAAGGAATTCTTTGACTCATTGAAGGCGGTGTATGGACCGAGGTTGGAGCCGCTGAGGACGCTGATCGATGGTAGTTCAGGCGCTACCTGCACGCAGACTGCAGACATAATGCAGGTCTGGCGGAAACACTTTGACTGTCTCTTGAACAACCGTTCAAAGATCGACTGGCCTACATTGAACGGCCTCAAGCAGCACGATGTGAAGACGAGTCTGACGGACACGCCGATACTGGATGCGAAGCAGAGAGCACTTGTTCAGCTGTGAAACGGCGGACGGGATCCCGCCTGAAGTATTGAAACATGGCAGACCCGCGTTGTTGACAGCGCTGCACCACTTGGTGCAACGCGTATGGATTGAGGAGGAGGTGCCTACTGAGCTGAAGGATGCCCTTGTGCTACCACTGTACAAGGGCAAAGGGAGCAAGCAATGCTTCACGAATTATCGTGGCATCAACTTGCTGAGTTGTGTGGGCAAGGTGATTGCCCGAATCCCGCTCAACCGCCTCGTCAGTCAGGTTGTGGAACCTAACGTGGCGGAAGAGCAGTGTGGATTCCGTTCGGGTCGCAGCACTATAGATATGGTGTTTGCGGCTCGTCAGTTGCAGGAGACGTGCAGAGAACGACACCAGCCATTGTACTCGCTGTTTGTTGAATTCACCAAGGCATTTGATACGGTGAACCGCGAGGCATTGTGGCTGGTGTTGGGTAAGTTTGGTTATCCGAGTAAGTCTGAAGTTTAATTGAATGTCTGCACAGTGGTATGCGAGCGAGGGTGCAGCTGAGTGGAGAGATCTCGGATGACTTTGCAGTTGTCTCTGGTGTGAAGCAAGGCTGTGTCTTAGCTTCTGCCCTGTTTAATATATATCTTCATGCAATGATGCCTTTTGCTTTTGATGCCGCTTGTGCTTACGGTGTTCGTGTGGAGCACCGTATTGATGGTGAGTTGCTGAACATCCGTCGTTTCGGTGCGAGAACTCTAGTCTGTGAGACAACTATCCGTATGTTGCTGTTTGCTGACGACTGTGCGTCGTTTGCACACAGCGCGAATGAGTTGCAGCAAATGACTAGTGCTCTGGCTTCGACAGCGGCCAAATTTGGGCTCACCATCAACACAAGCAAAACTGTCTGTCTCTTTCAGCCTTCACCGGAGGTGCAATCTTCAATATTGCCGCGAATCAGCATTGATGCTGAAGTATTGGAAACCACTTCCCGCTTTTGCTACCTTGGGAGTGTGATGTCGACTGATCAGCAGCTACACAGTGAGCTGCGTATCCGTGTGTCGAAGGCAGCGGCAGCATACGGGAATCATCATCATACACGTTAGCTAGAGGTGGGATACACCTCAGCTACTGTGCCGCAATACAAAGAAAAAAGGAGAGAAAAAAACAACTGGTGAAAGCTGGCTGAGCTACCGGTAACGGATGGGCATCGTTCCGGTAAGCTACCAGCCGGCTGCTGTGCACCCAAAAAAAAATTATTATGCAAAATTATATAAGGCTAAGTAATGAGATCGAGCATACGGGAAGCTTGAGTACCGATTGTGGACCAACCATCAGCTTACCACTGGCACGAAGCTGATGGTGTACAAATCCATGGTGTTGTGCGTTCTTCTATACGGCAGTGAAACGTGGACGATGTACCGGCGGGATGTGCGATATCTCGAGCGGCTCCATCAGCAGCGTTTGTGACGGATTTTGCTCATCGGTTGGGGCGACAAAGTTGCTGACACGGAAGTGTTGCGCCGAAGTGGGATGTATGCAATGGACTGCATACTTTTGCTGAGACACCTGAGGTGGCTCGGTCATGTGAGTCGTATGGATTCGACGCGGATACCGAAACAACTCTTATATGGTCAGCTGAGTATTGGGAAGCGGCATGTGGGGAAACCAAAGTTACGTTACCAGGACATGATCAAAGTGAGTCTCTTACGTTCTAATTTTGATTGCAGATCATGGGAATCGAAGGCGGTTGATTGGCGTGCATGGCGCGATCTAATCACGAAGGCAGTTGCCGAAGTGCGGGAGAAAGACCTCATACATGCAGAGAAGCGGCAAGCACCGATGGGTTGTACTCCATCGACATCAAGCGCATGGTGCTGTAGCACATGCGGTCGAGAGTGCCTGAGTCAGGCAGGCCTAGTGAGCTATAAGCCAGGCCACTCGGGACCACTACCGAAGCGACGACGGGTCCTGTAGAGAACGTAGGCAAAACCGGCGCAGCGTTTGTAGGCACGATGCATTCGATTTACTAACCGCGTGCTTGCATGCAAAGTCTATTTATTTCAGGTGGTGGTTTTTCAATTTCGTCCTAATGCTTTTCTTTCTCATATAAATGTCTACCTGTACTCTCTTCTATAAACTTGCACACCTCGCTTAAGCTAATGGTAGTTAATTTCGATAACACTTTCGTGTTTGTGGCATTTCCGTAAAATATACTTTCTGACCTCGTGAACTTATCTCGGATTCTTTTGTAAACAAATTATCTCATATGCTCATTAATTTAAGATATATGTCATCGTTTCCTTATGCATTACTCGATTTATTTCCTTTGTTAGCTTCTCCCAAGTGATTGGCTGTTGCTTGATATCCCCGGTGTGGCTGCGCTTTATGTGCATGTTGACAAGGTGCCTACCTGTCTATTACCCACTACCTCGTCCATCTGGCTCCAGGAGACAGTTGGTCGTTGCTGGAGGGGACAGGGTGCACGGTTCTTTTGGCAGTGCTAGGCTCGAAGAGTGGTTCCATGCACTCAGTGTGGAGCGGAGTACGGTCCAGCCACCGCCTTGTGTGCGCTTGATTCCCCAAATACAGCGTGCTTGTGTTTGCCTGTGAAGGAATGTGGGCCGGCTCCGTTGATGAAACGTGGCTCCCATCCGCATGCCTCCCGGTCTTATTCCTTCGGGTTTACACTGAATATGGGTGTGTGGTTGGAGCTGTGGGTGGTGCAGCGCAAGCCACTCATGGTCCCTCTGTAGGCGCAGGCGTCCTGTGTCTTGTCACAGTGACAGGCAAATCCGAAACCGGATGCCGCCAACTATGTATGTATGTGTACCCCATGCTGGGGCTGATGTCGCATTCATGATGCTTCTTCACCGCAGTTGGGCTAAACCAACTTACACTTAAACTAGGTCTTTTTATGCGGATAAATTTCATTCCATTTTATTTGGTTTGTTCTGCGTACTTGATAGTCTTATCCCAACTTACACACGTCGCTCATGCAAATTGTGATAAATTTGTGTAATTTTATCGCGTGGCATTTTTAAAAATAACTTTCGGATCTTTTGTACTTATCGCGCATTCACATTTAACCAATTTCTTCCATATGCTCATTTAGCGAGTATTTATGTCGTCATATGCGTTTACTTTATTCGGTATCGGCATTTCGAATGATTGGCTGCTGTTTGACATCCCAGGTGTGGCTGCGCTTGATGTGCATGTTGACAAGGTGCCTACCTGTCTATTACCCACTACCTCGTCCATCTGGCTCCAGGAGACAGTTGGTCGTTGCTGGAGGGGACAGGGTGCACGGTCCTTGTAACCGTGTTAGGATCAGAGAGTGGTTCCATGCAGTGTGGAGCGGAGTACGGTCCAGCCACCGCCTTGTGTGCGCTTGATTCCCCAAATACAGCGTGCTTGTGTTTGCCTGTGAAGGAGTGTGGGCCGGCTCCGTTGATGAAACGTGGCTCCCATCCGCATGCATCCCGGTCTTATTCCTTCGGGTTTACACTGAATATGGGTGTGTGGTTGGAGCTGTGGGTGGTGCAGCGCAAGCCACCCATGGTCCCTCTGTAGGCGCAGGCATCTTGTGGCTGGCCACAGTGACAGGCAAATCACGCTGTCAAGTCAACTTCTGTCCACCACGAGCCTTGAGCCACACTACACCTGGTAGACTAAACAAGACCCTCCTAGGTAAGCGGTGACTAGGTATACGTAGCACGTGCCTGAGCCAACGCAAATTACATATTGCTACCCGTTGTTTTAGGGAGCTAGCATAATTATCACTACCTAATACTCGCCTACGCACATCATCGTTGCGGACACGCTGGTGACATCCGACACCAGCAATGCTTCGCAGACAACGATGATCAAAGACTTGAAGCCGCCTCAGATCTTCAGACCGAAGGGGCCGAGTATCACTACCATAGAGCAGAACGGCCCTCACTGTGGCCTTGTATACACGGCCTTTCAGACGGAGGGAAACTCCCTTCTGTCGCCAAAAATGCTGCAAGTTCAAAAAGGCGTCTCTAACCTTTGCAATGCGTGAGCTGACGTCAGTTTCTATGGGCCCATCATTGCTGATGCAGCTGCCAAGATAAGTGAAATGATCAACCACCTCGAGTTCCTTGTTAGCAAGCGTCAAGGGGTCATCAAATGGTTGGTGGACCTGCAGCAACACTTTGCCCTTTGAAGGTGCGAAGTGCATACCAAACAATGGGACCACTCTGGACAGGCTATTCAGGGTTGATTGGCCCACCCCAACATCGTCGAAAAGCAAGACGATATCGTCCGCATAATCTAGGTCAAATAACCCTTCACCAGGCATCACTTCAACGCCTACATTGTGAGATTCCGCAAGGGAACACTCCATGATAGAAGCCACGACAAAATTGAACAAAAATGGGGAAATCGGACAACCCTGACGAACGTCAGTTGTGGTCGGAAAGCTATCCGATAAGACACCGTAGACCATGACGCGGCCTGTAGTGTTCGAGTATAGAGCAAGAAGGAAGTTCACATATTTCGTGGGAACACCTCCGCGCAAGTATTTCGAACAGAATCGATCGATCGACTGAATCGAACGCACTCTTGAAATCGAGGAACACAGCTAGTGTCGGTCTGTGGTATGCGTGGCGCTGCTCTAGCACCTGCCGCAAAGTGAATATATGGTCTATACAGCCACGTCCTGGGCGGAAACCAGCCTGTTCTTCCCTAATCCGAGATTCCCGTTCCACAGTGATGCGATGAACGATAATCGAGGTCAATAATTTTGTCACAATTGGCGTTAGGTTAATACCCCTGTGGTTTGGACGGTCTGTGCGACTGTCCTTCTTGTATATTGCTACTATAATCGATTCACTCCAGTCAGCCGGGACACCCTCTTCTTTCCAGACAATTTCGAATTGGGAAATCAGTGGTTTGCAGAGGACCTCACCTCCAGCCTTAAACAGTGCAGGTGGGAGGGAATCCGGGCCAGCGGCACGAAAACGATTGAGGGCTGTAATCGCGTTTCGGACCTCGGCCTCCGACGGAGGCTCTAAACTAACCGTCCATGGCTTGTCCTGCATCACCTGCGTAAGAAGAGGTCCGGGATCAGGGAGCCAGCTGAACTGATCTTGAAAGTGTTCCGCCCTACGAGCCATACAGCGCCCCTTATTGTGTATCTGCGCACCCGCGCTTTCTCTGATTGTCTCCCTGACGCGTGGTTTGCTGGGACCAGTGGTGTGTATCGCCTGGAAGAGCTTGCGGTAATTGCCAACTACCCTTGCCTCCTCCATTTATTGAGCCATACTGGTCCACCAGGCTTCCTTGTCAGCACGTAGGCTCTGCTTTAGTTCACGCCTAATAGCCCGTCTGGTCACATTATGTTCAGTGCCAGCTGGGAGGTGTCTTCTAGATTCCAACAGATTCACCGACCTCTCGGATATCCAGTGACTGGTGCAGATGCTCCTGCGTCGTGCATGGCGGCCGAGATCCTATTCCACTGAAGCTCAGCGTCAGTAGGACAAGACTGCGGAAGTTCAGTATGCAGTGCGTCTTGATAGGCTTGCCTGACCGAGGACTGAGACAATTTCTCAGTTGCCAAATGGAGCAGACGCTTGGCGCGCCTCCCGGTAAAGTTCATGGAGAAACGACAGCGTACCAAGGCATGATCAGAGTCGGCACAGGTACTCCAGTACGAGCGGCAATCCACGATGGAACCCTGTCATCTGTAAGTTATGGCTGTGTTCAATTTGGGTCCATCGCTGGCCAGTTACAGGAGGACGCCAAGTGGCACTTCGGCGCCCACTGTGTCTAAAAGCAGTGCTACTAGAAACAACTGGTGCTCCGCACACAGTTGCAGCAGACGCTCGCCGTTGTCAGTCCGTTCGGAGTTAAGTCCATACTTACCACCCAGCTGAGCTTCTGAAGAGCTCAGACGCCCTACTTGTGCGTTCATATCCCCTGCAAGTACTATAATATCTGAACTAGTAGCACTGCGTAGTAGCGCGTTCAGTTCGTGATAGAATGTGTCCTTGACTGCATTAGAACTGCAGTCGGTGGGAGCATAAACGGAAATCACAAACAAACAGCGTTTTGTTTTACTTCGCGAATTCACCTTAGCTGATGTCGTCAAACGGGCTGCACATAAACGGCTGTTCACTGGAATCCAATCAACCAACGATGACTCAGCCTTGCAGCTGAGAATGATACCTACACCAGCTTGACCCGTGAGTGCCGCATCGGCGTCTCCGGATGCGTGCAACCAATAACGAGAGGATAAGCCGGGTGCAGTCAATTCAATAACCCCGTTAGGGTCATTAATCCTAGTTTCGGACACACAACACACATCAACACCCAGTGTGTCCAAGGTGCGTGCGAGTGCAGCCTGCTGACCTGTTTGTCTTAGAGTGCGGACGTTGAATGTCGCCATGGCAACGGGACTGCGGGCCTTGTAAGAGACTTTTGCCAATAGGCGTCCGCTAGGTGCTGTGGGATGGTGGCTGCAAATGGTACTACTCCAGTAACACTTCGGTTGCTGTCAATTAAGCTGGGAATTATAGTAGGAAGGTTAGTAATGGGGGCCGGGATGGGAGTAAGAGAAAAAGGTGGAAAAGAAAGAAGGGAGGCGCCAGCAGTAGCATGTTTTCGCTTATCCGCCCTGCTGTATGCAGCAGATAAGGCGACCCTTGATAATCTGCGCGACGGCCGATGCAGGATGAAGTTTATGTTTGAAGAGAATGTCATGGTTGTATGTGGGCTGAGATACTGCCAGGGCGCCCAGACCTAGACAGGAGGACGATTAGGGTCCTCACTCTAAGCCTTTGGCTCAAAAACCTGTCAGCAATGCAGCGGGCAGGTGGCAACGATTCTGTTTTACAGAAATGGACGTCATACCACTTCAAACCCCCAACCTGGAGGACCAGGAGACTGAGTTTGTCTGACCTCTCACCATTGACCAACCTGGTAGGAGTAGCTCTCAAGATGCCCGGGAGCATCACCCAGTATAGCTCAATGGGTCAATGAGGTACGCAAACTGTCGCACCACGTTAAGATCCAGTCTGATTTGATTTGGCTTGATTCTGCTGTATGCAAACAACTTAACAGACGTGCCAGATGTTGGTGTATTTATTTATCTGCTCCTTCATCATGCACCTTCAAGCGCTACCGTGAAGCTCGAAATGCCTGCAAGCAGCATCTAGGAGGTGTTCGACTACAGCATGAAGTAGAGCTTGCTCGTATAGCCTCATCAAACCCGAAACGCTTCTTCGCGTAGCAACATGAACTCGTGCATCCCAGTGTTTCTGCTGTCACAGATCTCGGAAAAGCTTGTTTGCTCGGAGGACAGTATGCTGGGGTTTCTGTTCGAGAGTCGCAGCTGCCGCATATCAGCCTGCAGGCAAAAGTTCCTGAGGGCTCCTTCTTGTAGGACGTTTCCATAACGGAGAAACAAGTGCTCCGGCTTCTGAGGGAAATAAATCCCAATAAAGCTGTCCGTGGGGATGCCATTCATCCAAACTGTTGTAGGAGCTGGCTGATGAACTTTGCCCTCGGATTACGCAACTTTTTGTGAAGTCTATGCAGCTGCACTCTACTCAATAACTGGAAGGAGTCTATTGTTTGTCCCATTTTAAGAAAGGTGATAAGCACCTCCCTGTTAACTATAGACTGGTCAGTTTGACGAGCGTGCTGGATAAGTTGGAAAAGCTCGTGAGGGACGCTCGCGAAGGATACTTGAGAGCGTTTGAGTTGTTTACTGCTTCTCAGCACGGCTTCCGTAAGGGCTACTCTTGCCTTATTAACTTGTTAACGGCTCGTGAACACTGGACTGAAGCTGTTGATTGCGGGGAGGCATGGGATGTGCTGTTCGTTGACTTTCCCAATGCTTTTGACACGGTTCCACATTCGCGCCTTTTGTACAAGCTGAAGTCCTACGGTATTTTTGGACCAGTCTTACGATGGATTTCAGCTTTCCTAATCGGAAGGGAAATGTGTGTGTGGGTGGGTTCCAGCCTGTCCTTCTGCCAATGTGTTCTCAGTGGCGTCCCGCAAGGTTCAGTCCTAGGCCCCCTCCTCTTCACTTTATACGTTAATGATCTACCCGATGAATTGGGTGTGCCATCCCTAATGTTTGCGGATGACTTAGTGAACAAGTTTAAGCCTTCGGAACAGTGTCGCCATGCTGCCAATAAAGTGCGACATGTTATTTTCTCTTAGGAGGGCGCTGAGTAACACTAAAGCAGGAGCATTCCTACCGTTATATAAAGCACTGGTTATGTCACATCTGGAGTATTGTGTTCAGGGCTGGGCACCGTACCTCCGTATTGACGCCATGTGTATAGAAACGATTCAGAAACTTGCGACCAGGATGATCGAAGATCAAGAAGGGAAGTCGAATGAAGATCGTCTAAGTAGCTTAGGATTATTTCCTTGGAACGGCGTAGAGTGAGGGGATTTTGATAGTGACATATAAGATCATTAAGGGACTTAGTGGTATTAGTCCCACCCATCTGAGTTAGATATGTCGGACCAACTGCGCGGGCATCGCCTGAAGCTCAAACATCATAGAGCTCGTTTGGACATCAGAACAGTTTTTTACGAACCGAGTAGTTAACATTTGGAATAAACTTCCTTCTGATTTAGCGGAATGTGAGTCTGTAGAAGCCTGCAAAAGGGGCTTAGATGAGTGTTGATCTGTGCTTTTCCCAGAGGTATTGTAATTGTACTGGAATATGTAGTGCATTTTGATGCTGACACATGAAAGTGTAAAAATTGCTTGGCGGCAACGAGGTACCGCGAATTCAACCAACCTGACCTCGGAGTTTTGCTGTCATCAGACTTTAAGTCCAATGAACACAGGACGACAGCTGCTCACAAAGGTCTCACCATGTTGTGGATGATCCGCAAATCATTCGGGATCATGACCACCGAAATGTTCTTTAGACTAATTTCGGCCTCTGTAAGGCCGCAGTTGAAATACTGCGCTCAGGCTTGTCCTCCATGTTTGTTTCGTGAGAAGGCAGTTGAACCAGTCCTGCCGTCCGGGACGAAAATGGTGAACGGGTTAAAGCAGCTGACGTACCCGGAGAGGCTACGTAAGTTGGTTATCTTTTCCATGTACTACAGGCGGCTTCGGGGCGTCTTGGTCCTCACATATCGTATACTGATGGGCCAGATTGGTCCTGATTTGACTGGACTGTTTCGCCCAACTCCAGCTAACCCCCCCCCCCCCCGTGGCCACCCATTAAAGTGGCACAAACCCCGGTCTGACCGGGTTTGGGCAGCTCAGGTCAGGTCAGATGGACGATAGAGGCTTCCGCCTAACGAGCGTCCAGTTCTTGTGCCGGTAAGTGAAGCGGCCCCCGGCACTTCGACGTTGGATTGTCTCTTCTTGCTTCTGCAATGGAATGAAGCAAGAACAAGAGCAATCTCTGCACTTTCATATGCCAGCATCAAAATACACTACATATACCAGTACAACTACAATAGCTCTGGAAAAAGGATGGACCAACAATTGTCTAAGCCCCTTTTGAAGGCTTCTACGGTCTCAGACTCCACTAAATCAGAAGGAAGTTTATTCCAGTAGTTAACTACTCGGTTCGTAAAAAACTTTGCCCTGATGTCCAAACGAGCTCTGTGATGTTTGAGCTTCAGGCGATGCCCGCGCAGATGGTCTGACGTAGCCAACTCAAACAGATGGGTGGAACTAATACCACTAAGTCCCTTAATGATCTTAAACGTCTCTATCAAATCCCCTCTCAACCTACGCCGTTCCAAGGAAAATAATCCTAAGCTACTTAGACGATCTTCGTAAGACTTCCCTCGTTGACCTTCAATCATCCTGGTCGCAAGTTTCTGAATCTTTTCTATACAAATGATGTCACTCCGGAGGTACGGTGACCAGGCCTGAACACAATACTCCAGATGTGGCCTGACCACTGCTTTATATAAGGGCAAGAATACTTCTGCTTTAGTGTTACTCAGCGCCCTCCTAAGACGAAATAACTCGTGTCGTGCTTTATTGGCAGCATGGCGACACTGTGCCGAAGGCTTAAAATTGTTCGCTACGATGACACCTAGATCACGGGCTTCGTCAGTACACCGCAATGATAGAGATCCCACAGGAGACTGAACTGCAATTCCGCTACCACTACTAGTCAATAGTTGACATTTGTTGGCATTTAGAGGTAGGTCCCATTGGCTTGACCAATTCGCCACAGTGATGATGTCCTTAGCCAATGTCGCTCGGTTTCCCCTACTGACTAGCTTCAAGTCATCTGCGAAGATGTAGCAGGGATCCTCAAGAAGAGGAGCCAGGTCATTTATAAACATAAGAAACAGCAATGGACCCAGAACCGAACCTTGGGGGACACCGCTGTAGGCATGGCCAACACTAGAACTCGCTTCCCCAACGCTGACTCTGAATGTCCTTCCACGTAAGAATTCAGAGAGCCATAGTAATAGTTGAGGATGCAATCCAAACCATGTCAGCTTCTCAATTAAAAATCGATGATTCACGGAGTCAAAGGCTTTACTGAAGTCCAAATAGCACACCTCTACCGATATCCCACCATCAAGACAACGGGTAATCTCGTCTAAAAAGCACAATAAATTGGTAAGACAAGACTTCTTTTTGAGAAAGCCATGCTGTTCCGCTCTAATTAGATTGTGCTCAGTCAAGTGCTCACAGATCCTGTTCCTTATAAGCTTTTCCAAGCATTTCAGCATGATGCTGGTCAAACTAACAGGTCTATAGTTAAGAGGCACCGACTTAGAACCCCCTTGTGGATGGCAACAATAGTCGCCTCCTTCCAATCACGTGGCAGCTTGCCTTCTTGAAGAGACTGGTTGAATAACTCCGCTACGGGATACTGAAGGATATCAGCCAGCGGCTTAACTATGGCGGGATGTACGCTATCAGGACCGGCTGATTTATAAGGGTTCAAACTGGCCAGCACTGTGAAGACCTCTGACACATTGAGAATAATTTCCCGCATTGTGTAGCTAGTTGAGCAGTGCGGCTGTGATGGCAAGGCTGACCCACTATCCTTCCGATGCAGGCTTTGGTAGACACGTAGCAGCACTTCTACTTTATCGACGTCGTCTACAGCCTGGGTACCGTCCTCCATGGTTAGACAGCCGACCACCTCTCTTAAAGAAGCCTTTGACTGGACATAACTGTAATAACACTTGGGATTAGTTTTCGCAAATTTGGCCAACCTAAGCTCATATGAGTACTTCGCCTGCCGCTGTAACTTAATAGCCATGTTTCGACACCTTTTGTACTGCAGCCAACGTCGAAAGCCCCGAGTTTCTTGATATTTTCTCCACTCAGCATTGCGCCTCTTTATCGCTCTATCAATTTTTCTTCTCCACCATCGGGGTTTCCCAAGATGTCTCCTGGGGCGAAGAGGAGCAAATTCATTCAGCAACTGTACAAGTCCACTTTTAAGTAGAAGCCACCTCTGTTCCAAAGTGGCCTTGTCCTGTTCAGGGACCCAAGTGATCTGAAGGGCTCGATCCCGCAGCTTCGTAAAATCAATACGATTTAAATCTCTTCCCATTCGACGGTTCTCTGCAAGCCTCGGTGTGTCCAGAGAAAAGGTCAAAACACAATGATCACTCTTACCTATGGGTGGCTCCACGCATAGGTCAATCAAGTGACCATGTCTGGCGATCACGATATCAAGGGTTGAAGGGGTACTCCCAGTACGACTCCTAGTCGGGACATTGACGTATTGCTCGAACGCATTTACATGCATCCAATCTACTAGTTCCTTCTCTAAAGTACCCACTCTGTTTTCAGCATGCTGCCAATCAGCATGCGGAAGGTTTAGGTCACCGACGATCAGAAAATTAGGTGCGGCCATTGCCGCCTGTCTTAGTAACGTACCAAGATCCCTGTCCTCTTCTCGCGTGGAGGATGGGCTACGATAAACACATACTATAATCTCCAATCTACCCCATGCTCTTAGATAGCAGGATACCACCTGAACATTAGCAGAACTCATGGTAAATGGAGCCTCCCAGTGTTTATATTGGCACTTTATAAGCAAGAGTACTCCTCCACCAGTCTGATACCCGGGCCTGTCAGCCCTGTAGCACGCAAAGTCTATAAGCAGATCACCAATAAGGTCATCTGGAGAGAGCCAGGACTCCGACACAGCGGCCACATCAACATGCTCACAACGCGTCACTAATTCCCCCCATTTGTTACGCACACTACAACAATTAGTGTACCACACGCTTAGTCTCTCCGAACGCGGTTGTTTCCCCTCGGACGTAGAGCCCGAGGGGATAACCCGTTTTTTGTACCATTTCATTTCGATCAGCTGCCTGAGTCGATGAATCAACGCTGGGCTGCTGTAACGCATTACGGGATAATCCCTTTCCTGGCTTCGCCCGCCTGGGCTTGCTGGATAAACTCCCGACGGGTTTCCTCCCATTTACCTGAGTCGACCTAACAGCACTGCACTTCGGATTTTCTGTACGGTCCAATTTAGGTGTGGCAAGTTTTTCATTTATCCTATCATTTTGTGAAAAGGGCATACCACCCATGGACTTTGGTGCCACTACTATCGAGCATGAGGCCTCGATTGTTTTTGAACGCACCGGCTGAAGTCCCATTGCCACACCTTCACTACCCTCTTCCGCCATAGAGGTGTGATTCACATTTCCATCAAGAGCAAGTTTCTCCACAACCAAATGCAGGCCAGGAGTTATCTCGCTGGCGTCTTGTGAAGGGGTTGTCCAGACAAGCTGACTGCCCTTGCCACAGGAGAGCAAACGCTAGAGGTTTGCTTAGGTGTCTGCGTAACGTGAGGCTCACTATCATGAATTCCAACGTGTGAGACCGCAGATTCGTTAACCAAGCTGGTATTAGTACCTTCTAACCGGCTCAGCCGAGGGGCTTTAGCCTTCGAAGTTAGTGTGTCCGGTGCTATTTGATACCGACCATTTGTCTGACTTGCAACCAACCCAACCCTGTTAAGTAGTAGGTCCCGGTGTATAGGGTTCCGAAACTCAACCAGGATAGGCCTTGCATAACCTTGGTGGCGGAGCATACTTGTTTCTCTCCAGCTGCCAACACGATGTACTCTTTTGATACCAACGTATAACGGTATTCCGGCTATACGAAGGATATCGTGCACTCGCCTTCTGTCTAGGTCCCGTCGAGTTTTAATTTCTCGTATGACTGGCTCCTCCCTATTGTAGATAAGAACGTTTCGTTGTCTACCCATAGCAAGTTCTGCACTTCGCAAGTAACATTCCAATACTGAATACTGTATTTTGGAGCAAGTAGCAAATAATTATGTACAACTCCATCGGGTGATAATCAAAGAACATTTTAAAAAATAAACACCTCCGGTGGTTATCCTGCAATGGTTCAGCAACTCCTTCTGTAACACCCAAAATGCTTGTTCACACAGTGAGTCACAAGTGGGTGATATCGTTGTCAAGTGGCAACCGTTCTCTGAAACGTATGTTATCGAAGTGTAAATCCAACAAAGATTTGAATTTCTGCACAGATTCGGTCTCGACGACGTGTTCTGGCAGACTGTTCCAGGCGTGCACAACCCTCCGCTCGAAACACAGGGGTGTGGGATTTTCTTCAGATCAGGTACCACGAGTTTGTACCTGTGCCCACGTGTGGTGCATGGTACTCGCAAGTGGAGTAACGACCTTAGCATGGGGAAATGACCGGGATGTAAAATACGGTAGGTCATGATAAGATCCACTCGAACACGGCGATATGACAAGGTGTAGAGCAAAAGTTTCATGCACCGGTTTTCATACCATAAGCCTCTCAAGCTGGGGATCAACTTGGTGGCGATGTGTTGTACTCGTTCGATCTTTTGCGCTTCGCCACGAGTGATCGGACAGTATGCAGGCGAGCCGTACTCTACCATTGGTCTGACGATGAAAGAGAAGAGGTGAGTGGCGACGTCCTCAGACCAAGTGCAGAAGCTGCGTTTCAGCGCCCAGCGCATGCGCAGTCCGTTTCGATACAGTTTGTTGGTGTTGTCGACGGACTTCAAGTCGCAGCGTGAGAGTACACCTAGGTCTTTCACGGAAGGTGTGGGGTGCCGTGGTTGGCCGTCTAGGGTGTACGTTCGTCCGTGAACAGCCTACCCGAGATTCATGAATAGGGACTTTGCCGGGTTGACCGGTAGGTGGACTTCAGCAGACCATACTGCGAGGCGGTCGAGATCTTGTCGGAGAATGTCACAGTCATCGAGAGTATTAATTTCTCGCCAAATTTTGAGGTCATCCGCAAACAGTGCACACGGCGACCGTAGACGCTGGGGCAGCTCGTTTATATGGATGAGAAACAGAGTAGGTCCCAGTACCGTACCTTGAGGTACACCACTGGTCGAGGGATACCAATCGGTTAGATGGCCGTCCACCTGTACACTCCACTTTCTTCCAACGAGAAATTCATGGATCCATCGATGTAAAGATCCTCCGACACCACACGACCTTAATCTGTCTAGAAGCAATTCATGATTGACTTTGTCGAATGCTTTGCTGAAGTCGATGTAGATTACGTCGACGGACTTCCCCGGTTCAGTGCTTGCAACCATTCCTGTCTCGTCACAAGTAAGTTTGTAACACAAGAATATCCCATCCTGAATCCGTGTCGTGCCGGTGTCAGAAGTTCTTTCGATTGCAACAGATGTATTAGACGCTTTTTTACTATCTTCTCGATCACTTTTGCCAAAACGGGTGTAAGACAAATTGGCCTGTAGTTATCCACCTTACTGGGGTCGCCACCTTTCGGGATCGGCCTCCCCACCGAGCGCTTCCAGTCGTTTGGCAATGAACCCTCAGACAATGATTTGTTGAATAGATCCGTAACAGCAGGCGAGATAATGGCAGTTAGTGGTTTGATAATTAGCGGATGAAGCCCGTCAGGCCCTGCAGGCTTGGTACCGTCAAGGTTTGCAAGTAGCAGGCGCACCTCGTCGACATCACAAACCAAACTGTTGAGTTCTACAGGAATGTTACTCGCTGAGATGGGTATGGACGCCGCGTCGTTTGCAAACACGGAAGCGAAGTGAGCGGCCAGTGCGGACGCGCGATCGGAACTGGAAGTTAGCAGGTGTTCGTCCGCGTCTTCCAGACATGACACGTCACCTTTTGGCTTCAAACGGCGTTTCACGTGAGCAAAGATCTTCTTTGGGGCCATCCTCGCGTCAGTTGCAAGCTTTTCTTCGAACTTCCGGCGCTTTATCAATTTCACTTTGTTGCAACTGTTTCGCTCTCTTTTATATGCTTCGTAATCAGTGGCGGAGCCAGAGGCGAAATGCGTCCCACATTCTTCGCCGTAACCGAGCCAGCCTACCATATTCCTTGTCGAACCAGTGTGGTTTGATTGGTCCGACTTTTTGAAATTTCAACGGCACAAACTGAGAACAAAGCGAAGCCAATCCTTCCTTTATGACTGTCCAACCGTCCTCCACAGATGTAACATGCGGTAAAGACAAATCCATTTGGCTCGCTGCTCGATTTAATCCATCGGAATCAGTTTTCCAGTAGTTGTAAGCTGGTTCCACCGGAGATACACTCGGCAAGTTCAGTTCCATAGTGGCTATCAGCACGGAATGGTCGCTTTTAGCTAGGGGCTCCTGGATTCGTATGTCATGCAACCGCTGTTCGCAATTTGTCACCATCAAATCAAGGCACGATGGGTTCGAACGCGCCGTCAGGCGCGTAGGTTGGTATATGTGTTGCGATGCCCCAGTTTCAAGCAACAAATCAACAAACTTTGATTCGACTTCAGAATACCCGGACATGAGTTGGATTTCAGGCCATTGAATGTGGGGACAATTGAAGTCACCCATGAGGAGAAAACATGGACGACTCATGTTGTTCCGAAGATGCGGTAGCCAATCTAAAGGGCGGTTCAGAGGGCTACGGTAGAATGCACCTACTGTAAGCTTGCCGCGCCTGAGGTTGATGGAGCACCATACCTGTTCACACAGTCCATCTTCACTTCGGTACACGCTTACAAGCCTCCCACGCAGGGAAGACCGTATATAAAGTAAGACACCACCACGAGGATTTGATATTCTATCGCAGCGAAAGCATGAGTAGCCACTGAGATTGACTTCCTCTGCCATTACCTCAGAAGTTAGCCATGTCTCCGCCAGTGATACGACATCTGGTCGCTCAGAGGCAACGAAGCGACACCGCTCATCCCGTTTGTTCATAAGGCTACAGATGTTTGTGAATGCAGCACGGAGGTCCTGAGAGGCACCGCACTACGTGCCTGGAGGTTGATCAACCGACTGATACGGGTTCGTGCACCCTTCTTGATCACTCAAAAATTTAGGATGTGTAGATCAGTTTCGCCTTCTTCTGTACGGCGTTTAAGCTCAAGGACCGCAGTCTTCAAGCGGTTCCTCTCTTCGGGTTCCAAGTCTCGGCGGATGTGAACCCTGGTGACTTCAAGCCTGGAGAGACGAGACAGAATGAGTTGTGGCGTGTTGTGGTCAGAAAAGGTGATTCTTAAAGGTCGACATGATTGGTTAGTATGCTGACCAAGTCGGACTACTTGTTTAATCGTTACGCTGCCTTCACCCACATCCAACAGTTTACCAACGAGCCCCTGAAGGAATTCAACATCGTGATCATAACGTTTCTGAGGGTTTTTATTTTTCGACTCTGGTGCATGGAACACCATGAGATTATAACGCCTCAGGTAGATCGGTGACGAACTTGAGGCAGCAGGAATGGAGGGGCTTGTCGTTTTGGACGGTCGTCTATCGTTAGGGGGAAGCTGAAAGTTGTTGCGTGAACTTTTGCGTTTTTGAATGATCCATTTATCTTCAGTGTTCAGAGGTTCACAGGTATGCGCTGAAAGATTAGGGGGGCTCCGACTCTGAGTCGTCAATCTGTGGGGAACATATAATATATATATATATATATATATATATATATTATATATATATATATTGCAACAGTCTATGAATAGACATTGCACCATCGGAAACCATGGAACTCAAAACAAGGTACAAAAATAGTAAAAGAAAACGCAACACAACACAACAATGTCCACGGTTTCGTCAGAGGGCGAAATACTACCCGGTTGCCCAAGCCGAAGTAGGGTGTTGACTTAGGGGACACCACCCCGAGCCTTTGGCTGAATAGCCTGTCCGCAAGGCAGCGGAGCGAATTCAGGGAATCGCGCCCATTGGGAGCCGGTGACTGATTGATCAGTTCATACGCCTTTCGTTTGTTCCTTTGCCAAACAGGGGCCCAATGCTCCCCGAAATTACAGCATCAGCTTGCTGGAATACAATGCTTCGCCAGGATGACGCAAGGGGCAGTGACTTTATTTAGTGGCCAGTCACGTCCGCCAAGTCACGGTGTTGTTAAACGGACATATGTGGCTTTTTATAGGGAGAACACTCCACTAAAGCATTCTTCATAGTAAAATCAGTTGCACAGGTTGGATGTAGGCGGCTGAGGACTGCGTCAGTGTGCAATGTATAGCTGTGACTTTATTTTGTGGCGAGTCACATCCGCCACGTTGCAGTGTTGTCAAGCGGACATTTGTGGCTATTTTTAGGGAGAACGCTTGCCAGGCGAAAACCCACCACGTCCTGGAACACTGTCGTAGCTTCAGTTGAACTGTAGTGCTAGTCGGCTATGCATCGTATAGACCGATTTTGCACTCTATTATTCGCAGTCGGTTGACAGCCAAAATTCTTCCTTGGTTTGCCAAATGGCTTAGTACTGAACCGGCAATAGTCGTTGAAGCCAGTCAATGATGTAAAAGAGTCGCAGTCGAATGATAATGATGCGGGTGAGTAAACAAATTGT